ATCCCTCAATATTAATAGTCTTAACTTGTCCATAAAAAGACACAGGCTAACAGAATAGATTCGAAGACAGAATCCATCCATCTGCTGCATACAAGAAACACTCCTCAGCCTCAAAGAGAGGCATTATCTCAGAGTTAAGGATTGGGAAAAAATTTTTCCAATCAAATGGACCCAAGAAATAAGCAGGGGTAGCAATCCTAATATCTAACAAGTTAGACTTTAAAATAAAATGAATCAAAAGAGAAGAAGGTAATTTCATACTCATCACAGGAGATATTAACCAAGATGAAGTTTCAGTTCTGAACATATATGCTCCAAATACAAAGGCATCCACATTCATAAAAGAAACATTACTAAAACTCAAATTACATATAAAGCCCCACACACTTATAGTGGGGGACTTCAACAGCCCGCTCTTACCACTAGACAGGAATGCCAGTCCACATGAAGAAACTAGAGAATAGTCACACTAGAGAATTGACAGCACAACTGAAAGCTCTAGAACACAAAGAAGCAAACTCACCCAGGAAGAGTAGAAGCCAGGAAATAATCAAATTTAGGTCTGAAACAATAAAGTAGAATCTAGGAAAACAATATGAAGAATCAATGTAACAAAGAGTTGGTTCTTTAAGAAAATCAACAAGATAGACAAACCTTTATCCAAACTTACCAAACTGCAGAATGTGAACATGCAAACTAACAAAATCAGAAATGAAAAAGGGGACATAACAACCGACACTGAGGAAGTCCAGAGAATCAACAGGTGATACTTTGAAAGACTGTACTCCACACAATTTGAAAATTTAAAGGAAATGGATAATTTTTTAGATAGATATCACTTGCCAAAATTAAATCAAGAACAGATAAGCAATTTAAATAGATCTGTAACCCCTATGGAAATAGAAGCAGTCATCAGAAGTCTCCCAATCAAAAAAAGTCCAGGGCCAGATGGCCTCAGTGGAGAATTCTACCAGAAATTCAAAGAACATCTTATACCAATTCTCAAATTATTTCATGCAATAGAAGCAGAAGGGTCTTTGCCAAACTCATTTTATGTGGCTTCAATAACCTTGGTACCCAAGCTACACAAAGACACAACTAAGAAACAGAACTTCAGACCAATATCCCTCATGAACATTGATAAAAATTACTCAATAAAATACTGACAAATCGGATCCAAGAACATACCAAAATAATCATCCACCATCATCAAGTAGGTTTCATCCCTGGGATTCAGGGATTGTTCAACATAGGAAAATCCATCAAAATAATCCACCATATAAACAAGCTGAGTAACAAAAATCACATGATCATCTCACTAGATGCTGAAAAGGTCTTTAACAAAATCCAACACCCCTTCACAATAAAAGCTATATACAGCAAACCAACAGACCACATCAAACTAAATGGACAGAAATTCAACATGATTCCTCTAAAATCAGGAACAAAACAAGACTGTCCACTCTCTCCATACCTCTTCAATGTTGTACTCACAGCTCTAGCTAGAGCAATAAGACAACAAAAGGAGATCAAGGAGATACAAATTGGAAAGAAAGAGGTCAAACTTTCATTATTTGCAGATGATATGATAGTTTACATAAGTGACCCAAAAAACTCTACCAGGGAACTCCTACAGCTGGTAAATACTTTCAGCAAAGTGTCAGGATACAAGATCAACTCAAGAAAATCAGTAGCCTTACTATATACAGATGATAAAAGGGCTGAGAAAGAAATCAGAAAAACATCACCCTTTACAATTGCTACAAACAACATAAAACACCTTGGGGTAATGCTAACCAAACATGTGGAAGACCTGTATCACAAGAACTTTGAGTCTTTAAAGAAAGAAATTAAAGACACCAGAAAACAGAAAGCTCTCTCATGCTCTTAGATAGGTACGATCAACATAGTAAAAATGGCAATCTTGCCAAAAGCAATCTACAGATTCAATGCAATCCCCATTAAAATCCCAGCGCAATTCTTCACAGGCCTTGAAAGAACAAGTCTCAACTTTATATGTAAAAACAAAAGACCCAGGATAGCCAAAACAACCGTATTCAACAAAGCAACGTCTGGAGGCATCACCAATACCTGACTTGAAGCTCTATTATAGAGCTGTAGTCCTGAAAACAACTTGATATTGGCACAATAATAGACAGGTAGACAAACTGAACACCCCGATATTAACCCATACAGATATGAACACCTGATCTTTGACAAAAAAGCTAAAATTATACAATGGAAAAAAGAAAGCATCTTCAACAAATGGTGCTGGCAGAACTGGATGCTGGCATGTAAAAGACTGCAGATAGAGCCGGGTGGTGGTGGCACACGCAATCCCAGCACTCGGGAGGCAGAGGCAGGCAGATCTCTGTGAGTTCGAGGCCAGCCTGGTCTACAAAGCAAGTTCCAGGACAGCCTCCAAAACAATACATAGAAGCCCTGTCTCAAAAAACCAAAAAAAGACTGCAGATAGATCCATGTCTATCACCATGCACAAAACTTAAGTCCAAATGGATGAAAGACCTTAACATAAATCCAACCATACTGAACAAGAATAAAAGGCAGCCCGCAGAATGGGAAAAGATATCCACTAACCCCACATCTGCCAGAGGGCTGTTCTCCAAAATTTACAAAGAACTCAAGAAGCAAGTCTCCGAAACACCAAAGGATCCAATTAAAAAGTGGGGTACAGAACTAAACAGAGAATTCTCAATAGACGAGTCTAAAATGGCTGAGAGACACTTAAGAAAGTTTTCAATATTCCTAGTCACCAGGGAAATGAAAATCAAAACAACTCTGAGACACCATCTTATTCCTGTCAAAATGGCTAAAATCAAAAACACCAATGACAGTTTATGCTGGAAAGGATTGGAGAAAGGGGAACACTCCTCCACTGCTGGTGGGAGTGCAAACTCGTTGGTCACTTTGGAAACTAGTATGGAGATTCCTCAGGAAAATGGAAATCAGCCTACCACAAGATCCAGCAATTCAACTCTTAGGCATATACCCAAAAGACACACATTCATACAACAAGGACATCTGTTCCATTATGTTCATAGTAGCATTATTTGTAATAGCCAGAACCTGGAAGCAACCTAGATGCCCCTCAATTGAAGAGTGGATAGAGAAAATGTGGTACATTTACATAATGGAGTACTATTCAGCGGAAAAAATAATGGAATCTTGAAATTTGCAGGCAAATGGATGGCATTAGAAGAAACCATGCTGAGTGAGGTAACCCAGTCACAAGAAGACAAACATGGTATGTACTCACTCATATATGGATTTTAGACATGGATCAGAGGAGTGCCAGCCTACAATCCCACTGCCAGAGAGTCTGGGAAACAGAACTTGCAACCAATGACTGATAGAAGGAGAGGCAGACACCCACAGCTAAACACTGAGCTGAACTCCTGGAACCCAGTGACATAGAGGAAGGATTGATGAACAAAGTGGCCAAGACTGGACTTGTTTAACCCACAGGAACAACTGACCTGAACAAGGGAGAGCTCTTGAACCCTAGACTGATGACTGGGAGTCCAGCCTGGGACTGATTCAGACTCCCTGAATGTGGGTGTCAGTGAGGAGGCCTAGACAATCCATGGGGTCTTGAGTAGTAGATCAGTATTTATCCCTGGCATACAAATGGACTTTGGGTGCCCATCCCACAATGAGGGATGCTCTCTCACCTGGACTCATGGGGGAGGCCCTAGGCCCTGCCTGAACGAAATGACAGTCTCTGGATATCCCTCATGGAGGGCCTCACCCTCCCTGGGGAACAGAGTGGGGATTGGGAAGGGCTGGGGGAGTTGGTGGGAGGGCACAGTAGGAGGGAAAGGAGGGGGAGCTGGGATTGACATGTGAAGCAACCTTGTTTCTAATTTAAATTATAAAAAATAAAATAAATTGTGTCTTGTAAAGTGTTAGAAAGTAAAATATACAATCAGGATGCTGACAGGTGATCACATTTCATATTGAAACCTCTAAGAAAAGTAGCATTATTGCCTCTTCCAGCTTCTGGTGGTCTGTGCACAGCCTCTGTGTGTCTTCAAGCCTTTCTTCCCTTTAACATCTACAGTTGCTGGATTGGGGGCCCAATTCAATCTAGTCAGACCTTGTCTTGACTTGATTACATCTTCACAGACAGTCTTTACCTAAAGTCACACTCTCATGTTAGGACTGTGTGTTAGTTCCTTTTCTTGTTGCTATGAGCAACTTCCTGACAAATTGCACCTTATGAAGAAAGGATTTGTTTTGCTTCAACCCCTCATGGTTGGAGGAAGCCTGGTGGCAGGTCACATTGCTATGACTGTCAGGAAGCAAGTGACAGACAGGAAATATGGCCAGCTATCAAACTTCAAAGACCTGTCCCCAGTGACTCACTTCCTCCCCCTAAGTCTTCTTATAGGCTCCACTTTCTTCCCCCAAGTCCTGTTACAGGTTCCACTTTCTTTCCCAAGTCTTCTTATGGGTTCTAGTTCCTTCTCAAATGGCATAACCAGCAGAGGACAAAGTATTCAAACACATGAACCTATGGGAGATATTTCACATTTAAACCACAGCAAACATTCCAGGTATATTTGTGGGGAACACAATTCAACTGACAACAGGAAGCATTTAACTAACATAGTTTCATAGTTAACTTTATGGCAGATGCTAAATACCAATGAAAAGATAGATCTTAGGATATAAGATATGATAAACACAGAAAACAACTGAGTTGAGATTAGAAGTTTAAAAAGCTATTTTAAAATGTTACCAAACTGAGTTATTTTGATAGTGTAAGTGGGTGCAGTGAATAACTACATCAAGATGATAGATGTAAACAAGACTATTCTTAAACTACCTTAGCCTTGTACCAGGCATTTTCTTTTCGGTCACCAATCAGCTCCCAAATCATGACATGGATGCTTACTATTAGTCTTGAATACTTGCCTAGCTTAGGCTTGTTTCTGGTTAGCTCTTTTAACATAATTTAACCTGTTACTCTTTATTACCTTTTGCCACAGGGCATCTCCCTCTCTTTCTCCCTTGTTCTCGTCTCCTTCTTCTTCTCTTTCCAGGAGACTAGATTTCTCCTATTTATTCTCTGCCTGCCAGCCCTGCCTATCCTTTCTCCCTTGAGCTGTTGGCCATTCAACTCTTTACTAGGCCAATCAGGTGCTTTAGGCAGACAAGTTGAAACAAATGAAACACATCTTTATGTAATTAAACACACATTCTTACATCATTAAACAAATACAGCATAAAAAAGTACCACACATTTACAGTTAAAGTAATAGCCCACAGTATAAACAAATATAACACATCTTTGTCAAGTTAAAATAATACTTCACAACATAGCCTTAAAAAAGACAAGATAGAGCCTTTAACTTAAAATACTGTTTTGCATTCTAGTTGTGTTTTGAAAGGGTTATCTCATGCTTTAAGTTGGAGGCAGCAGGGATTTATGGATTTAATGATGGGTAATGATATCTTTAGAGAAATGCTGGATAATTGACAAAAATAAATTATTTATAAGCACTGGGGTGTTTCAGTTCACCTCAAACTCTGCAACTAGTCTTTGTTGTGTACTTTCTCACTTACATTTCAAGAAGACTTAGCCACCTCTAAGTGTGAAAGTCTTTCCTTGGTGGTATACTGAGTAGGTACTCTCAAATGAACTGTTTCTACTGTGTCTTCCCTCTGTGTATTTAACTTGACTGTTTCTTGTGGGTTTTTTGTGTATTTTTTTATGTTTCTGAAGTTAAAGCTACCATTTAAATCCTTAAGGATTCAATTGGGTTGTAGAACAAGTATTTAGCTATCCAAACTCACTGAAATTCAAACACATTAATAGGATGAGAAGTTTGGAGTTTGCTTTGATTTTTACAGAAAAAAAATGTTGGAAAAAAACTCAGCCAGCTGATGGTTTATTTTAAAAAGTAGGTCAGCTCACAGAATGAAAGGCTGTTTAATTAACTAGAAGCTTGAAAGCCAAAGTGGCTACGCCACTGTTTGCCTTATTAGAGATTGGCCTTTTAAACATAGATCCGGATAGGTTCTAGACAATAATAATCAATTGCATGGTTACTAGAGCCCCTGGTTACAACATACAATAGTATGAAGTATGATAACTATATAAAAATAAATCACCACAAGTCTACAGACATTTAATCCAAGTATTCCGGATAGGCTTACATAGATAACTTTGGGGAAAAAAGCAATAATAAAGTAATGATTACCAACTAAAAATAAGGACATTTAAAGTGGGCTGCCAATCAGTGTGGGCTGAAGCCATTAGGAAATTCTCAGGATAAGCATTATAAGTAAAGCTTCTTGAAATGAAAAAGCAGTAGAGAAGAGAACAAGAAAGAAAGGTGATGTACAAAGACAAAATAAACAGAGGGAAGGACTAGCACATATTGAGTGACTACCAAATGACAGGAGGGGTACAGGACACCTCCCATTCATTGTACAAAGGCTAGAAGGTGAGAATGAACTGCCCATCTTTCAAGTAACACCGCTAAAAGTCAAGCGATGTAATATCTGTGCAAGAACAGTCAGAACCTGCTCCCTTGCCACGGTAAAGCATGGCACCAATTCCATGTTGTGGTTGTGGGAAGACCACTCTAGCACCGGTGGGGGCTGCTGAGGACTTAGGAGTGGCACTCCACATGGTGAGCAGAGCCAGCTCCCAGGAACAAGTTTCACCAAACACACACCCATAGAGGTGATGCTTCCTAATTTAGAAACTGGCACCTCGCCTTCAGTTTTCTCTTCTACAACTATTTAAAGGCATTACTCCAAGACTTCACATATTACAAGAAGATGTGTGAAAAAGTGACTTTACACAGCTGCCTGTGGGAGTAATTTTTAGCAGTTTGAATTTATATTATTATCAGCTATAGACTAAGTGTAAATGTGGTGAGTCGGTGTCCTGCCATTCGGCATATTTAAGGGCCATTGTTCTTTCTTGTTTGCTGTCAGTCATGAGTTTTTTTTTCTCTCTAATATAAAAGAGTCACATGAGAAAGAAGAGTAAAAATAGGAACGCAGCTTTCCCTAGAAGTTGCTTAGCCTGTCTATCCACTCAGGGGCCAAAGTTTCAAAGGCTTTTAAATTATTCTTCCCTAAATCATCTATATACAAGTGACCAACAAAAGACACCAGAGTGTCCAGGGTAAAGAAATTCCTTGAACTAACACAGTTGTCAGAGTTCACTTTCTCACTGTTGAAAAGGAATGCGTTATTAGGTTCTTAGTTCAGAATTTAATAGGGGCTACTGATGCCATCTTCACCTGCTCCCATGGAACGTTTCTTCTGTGTCTTCATTAGTTTTGATAAACCTGTGCGAAATCCAAGGGAAAAAAATGCTATTATATTATACAAAGGAGATGTCAGTGATTGTGTTATCAGCATTATTTCAGATATCTTAAACTGAAATATAGATGCTACTTAATATATTATATTCCTTAATATGAGGATTGTAGCAAACTAAGTATCATGCTCATTAACTTAGGGTTTTACAGGGAAATAAAAGCAGCTAACAATGGGGGGGAAAGGGTTTCTTTCCTTGGTTAAAGTGAGCAGGTGTCCAACACATTAACTCATAAACAGGTTAAGTGCAAAACAACTTTCCCTTTCTGTGGATTTTGCTGGAGGAAAGTGTCTAGGTAAGGGGGAAAGAGGGTGGGGGTGGAGAAAGAGATGTTTTACAAGGTTGCTGGCAGAGTGAGCTAACAGCTTTTTCAGTTTGATTACTAATGTGAAGATCTTATTTAAACTATGAACAAACATCATACCAGGCATTTGTAGAGCAACCTGAAAATGGCCAATACAGAATTTATCATCTCACTGGGAAGGCAAATAAGTAGGTCAACAGTTAAAACAAAAAGGTAAGTGGTAAGGATGCTGCTGTCTGACTTGCAGCATCAAAGAAAATTCTTCAATGTGAGCAACTTTTAAGCTGAGATATAGCATATGAGCATGAGTTGTCTAGTTGAGCATTGGTGGTGAATCAAACTGTATTCAGAGCTGGAAAGGGACGGATTTGTAGTGTTCCAGGCAATGGTAATCACACGTTCAGGGGACTATGGTAGACCTTACTGTTTTCACAGTAACAAAAAACAGTGTACACTGAGATTTCCAAAATAGGGAATTCCCTAATACGAATGCTCTAAGTGTACAAAACTATGAGTATTCCCTTTAAAGAAGTTAAACCCATTTGAGCAGATAATACTGATCTGTAATGTAATCAAAGACTAACCACACAGGAGTGTTCAAAGAGGATCCAATGGGTTGGGAGAAAAGGGAGCTTATCTCACTGCCTCCTCTCTTTAGTGTCCCTCTGAATTGTAAATGTTATATGAAATTGCAGAACAGCAGGATGCCAAGTGATCAGGCTCCTCAGAGGGGGTTTAAAATTTGTGTGCCGTGAATATGCTCTTTGACGGTCGGTGGAAAGAAGAGGCAAACCACATACGTGTAAGGAAGCATAAGAAAGTGTCAAGTCTAACAGAGAAGCTACATGACAAAGCATCAGATAACCTGGGCACAGGCAGAATTCCATAAAGAATGCAGCAAACTCTTTGATATAGATGGGATTACAGTAAGAGAACTGAAAAATCATAGCAGGAGATGCCTGGAGAAATGTGTGTCCTAAGATTTTTTTTCTTAATTGTATTATTTAACGTTAAAATCAAACCATTCATTTCTCCTTTCCCTTCCCTCCCTCTAACCATTCCTATGTGCCCATCTTGGCTCTCTCTGATATCTACTTTTTAATTGATTAATTTTATTCCTTGATAATTTCATGTATGTATTTACTGTATTCTGATTACTCTCTCCCTCAACTTTGTATTGCCCTCTCGTCAACACACATACAGATCCCCACAAAACACTAATTTCTATTAGTCCCTTACCAGATTCATGTCTTTTGGTTGACCAGTTACATTCCACACCTATAGGCCTCCTTGGCAGATGTCTCATGGTCTTGCATCTCCAGTAGTCTGGAGTCTCCAATACAACATAGGTTTCATTTTCAAAGCTTCACACAATTGTCTTTTAAGGCCAACTTCCATGAACTCTGAGTCTGACACATACTTTCTGGTCTTACCTGCTCTCATTAGCCCCATTAATTTTGTATCTTTCAGACTTTAAAACTAGTAATATTTGATGTCATTCCCAAGTTCTGCCTTCAACTAGAGATATACTATTGCTGCTTTGAGTACATCAGTCTCATTTATCTGGGCTGACCCAGAAGAAACACTTTCATATTGTCCCAGTTCAGAACTCTAGGTTTCTCTTTAATGGCACTGACCCTTTGACAGTCACAACTGCTTTGCTCACTGCATAGCTATTTGCAACTTTAAACTTCCCCATAAACTTTTCCCTAATCAAATTAGCCTCTTGGAAACCTCTCAAGCTGGACCTCAGGTGTCCACATTCTACTCTGCATTGCTGTCTTTCAAGTTCCCACTAGAATGGTCCATTAATCTCTGCTTGCAGCATTCAATTTCTCTTCTAATTCAAGACTCCAAACTTATCCACCTTCTTTCCACAAAACAGCTCCAAGGACCTAAAAACCACATGGTCAGGTTTATTCCCTCTTTGGCATCAATATCTGTCTTAACTTCTTTTATGTTACTAATGATGAGATATCCTTAAAAAACTAAGTTAATTGAAACATGGTTTATTTGGCTCACAATTTCAAGCTAAAGTAAATCATAGCAGGCATATCAGAGCAGCAAGAACTTGAAAGAATTGGTCACAGTACAACAGTCAAAAGCAGAGTCTATACTGAAAGAGTATCCCTCTATGTGGAATGAGCTCCCAAAGTCCATTCATATACAAGGGATAAATACTACAACCCTTCTCCAATATTCTCAGATGTTAAACTTATTATAGACAATCCTCAGGTATGTTCAGAGGCCTGCCTTTTGGGTACTAAATTGGCATTTAATATGAGCCATGACAAGTAAGAAACTACCATTGTATTCATTACCAGAGGAAAACAGACAAGACTGAAGGAAACACAAAATTATTCAGTGGTTAAGGTTTAAC